GCTGGGAAGGGGCCTAGGATGGAGGTGGCTGAGTGGTTAAAGTCCTGCTGTACAAATGTAAGGACCAGAACTTAACTTCAGAGTCCCAGAAATGACATAAATATACAGTAAGTGGCTGTAATTCTAGCCATGGGAAGCTAAGACAGAACAAGCTGGCTAGTGAGAATAGTCATATTGGCAAGCTCCGGGGTTGACCAGGAAACCCTGCCTCAATGACTGAGGCAGAAGTGTCATAAAAGTTAATTCCTGGGCCGGGCGTTGGTGGCACATGTCTTTAATCCCAGCACTGGGGAGGCAGAAGCAGGTGGATCTCTGTGAGTTCGAGGCCAGCCTGTTCTACAGAGCGAGTTCCAGGACAGCCTCCAAAGCAATACAGAGAAACCCTGTCTCAAAAAACCAAAAAAAAAAAAAAAAAGTTAATTCCTAACACCAACCTCTGGGCCTCCATCTGTACAGGTACCCACATGCATGCACACTCACACATGTGTTCAGACACATGTAAAACATGCATGCATACTTGCCCACCATACACACATGCACATATATATGGTCTATAATGCAACAACCCCTTGGAACTGTAATTTATCCAGACTGGCACAGGCCACACCAGCGAGCTGGTGAGTCCCGGCCATCACTATTGCAAGTCAGAAGACCAAGGACATTATACATACAATTCAGAAGACTCCTTGTAAAGTGGCAGATGGTGAAACCATAGATTGGAAGCTAAGTTTTGTGAGGGAATCCATTTGGACGACTAGCTTTCGGGTGCTGAGCAAGTCCCTAACACCTGTAACCGCCGCCTTTGCCACTTCTGCTTCAAGGCCATGTAGCCCTTGCACATCGCTGGACACTGCTGGCAAGTGTGCGGGATTTGTGCCATTCAGACCACGGACACGGACCATCCCCAATGCTGCTGAGCTGTGACAACTCCAACAACATGGCCCAGACTGTACTCTGGCTCAGCGTGAGCTGAGACTGACATTCTCAAGCAGGACCTGCAGGAGGCTGTGGCCCGATTCAAGACCAGACCTAGCGCCAAGGGCTCCCTTCCTTGGCTGCACAGAGCCTTGGTGTCTCATTCATAGGAAGTCTCCCACAAGGTACCCGCCACTTAACCTGTCCTTCACTTTTACAGATGAGGTCAGATATGTAGCCCAAGCTGGTCTTGGGCTTGCAGAGATCTTTTAACTCTGTCTCTCAGGTTCTGGGTTTGCAGGTATTGCATCACCACACCTCATCGCCTGGCCCTTCTGGAGGGGTGCATTGAGACGACAGAGCATTGCTTTGGGTGCATCATTCTGCCCCAGGAGGCTAATTGCTAGGAGCATCTGTGTGCCTTCTGAGGCAAAGGTCTTCTGGAAGTATAGACTCACCTCTACTCCCCATCCTTGCAGGTCTCAGATTCCAGGCCCTTCGGAGGACTGTTCCATCATGAACTGCTGCCAAATGCCCCCCCCGTAATAGAAATGTTTGGGGAAAGTAATTACTCCCTATGTCAGGAACAGAGAAGAAAATATCCAGGGCATCCCCTCCCCGTTTTTTGTTCTTGTTGTTTGTTTTCGTTTTAAGACAATCTTTCTATGTAGCTGGCTTAGAACTCCCTATATAGAGCAATCAGGCCTTAGTCTCAGAGACTCACATGCCTGTCTCCTGAGTGCTGGGATTAAAAGCATTTACCACCATGCCAGGCCATGGTAGGTTCCTTTTGGTTTGGTTTGTTTGTTTGCTTGTTTCTAGTTTGTTTGGTTTTTTAAAGAAACATGGTCTCACTAGATGGCCTGCCTTAGTTTACTTCTCTGTGTTGCTGAAAAAAAAAAAACAACTTGGTACAGAAATGGTTTATTCAGTGTACAAAAGAAGCCCAGGTAGGAGCCTGGAGGCAGGAACTTTACAAAATCCAGGTCATTGTAGCCCATCACTGGTGGCTCTATCCCGTCACTGGTGGCTCTAACCTGTCACTGGTGGCTCTATCCCGTCACTGGTGCCTCTATCCCGTCACTGGTGCCTCTATCCCGTCACTGGTGGCTCTAACCCATCACTGGTGGCTCTAACCCATCGCTGGTGGCTCTCATGCAGCTGAAGCACACGAGGTTTTGCTTTGCTCCTGGTCTCAGATGTGCACTGACATAGCAATCCCTCCTGGACCATCGATTTTGTTTGTTGATTGGTTGGGTTTTCAAGACAGGGTCTCTTTATGTAGCCCTGGCTGTCCTGGAACTCTCTGTATAGATCAGGCTGGCCTCAAATTCACAGAGCTCCTCCTGCCTCTGCCTCCTTTGTGCTGGGATTAGAAGCATGTGCCACCATGCCTGGCTGTCAGGGTCTTTCTTAGCCCTTTCCAAGCACAACCTTAATCAGCTGTGTCATCTTCCTTTGATCTTAGTGTATAGTGGTCCCTGCAGGGTAGTGGCCATTGTCCTACTGCCTCCCCTAGCCATCTTCCTGATGAGGCCCTGTGCACATCCGGATGTCTGGTTGGCCGAGGACTACCTCCTGTCCACCACTGCTCTTGTAGGTCACTGCTCACTAACCACCTGTCTTCTCCCTTCTGCTTATTTACTCAGGGATTTGATTCTAGTGTAATTTCTACGGTTCCATTGGTCAAGACTGACATATGTTTCCCTGCCCCTGCAGTCCTGAGTATTGAGCCTAGGCCTCATGCATACTAGGCAAGCACTCTGCCGCTGAGCTGTGTCTGTGGCTCTAACACACACACACACACACACACACACACACACACACACACACACACACACACACACACACACACACACGCACTTTTATAGCAGCTTCATTTATAGTTGCCTGAACTTGGAAACAACGCAAATGCCCTTCACTGGGTGAATGGATAAACACACTGGTCCATTCAGACAGAGGAACATTGCTAAGCCCTGGAAAGAACTGAGCCACTGAGCCATGAAAAGACTCAAAGGATGTGTAAACGGTTATTGCCAAATGAAAGAAGCTAGTGTGGGACTGGCAAGGTGGCTCAGTGGGTGCAGTCCTTGCTCTCAAGCTTGCCCACCTGAGTTTGATCCCTGGAACCACAAGTAAGGACAGAGCCGGCTCCTACAAGCTGTCCTCTGACTTCCCCGCACCCACCCACCCACCCAAACAGGCCAATGTCATCTTCAAGGTTTAGGAGCCATTGTGAAAGAATGCAGCCTGTGCTTCCAGCTCCAGCACTCTGGAAACAGGCAAGCACTACCAGGGTCAATGAAAAGATCAGGCGCCTGAAGGCAGGAAAAAGTTCCACAGGAAATTTCCAGGGCTGTCACACTATTCTCTTCCATACTATAGAGCTGGACCCACGCCAGTTTACATTGTCCAGACTAATAGAATGTACCACCCCTGGCCGGGTGTTGGTGGCGCACGCCTTTAATCCCAGCACTTGGGAGGCAGAGGCAGGCGGATCTCTGTGAGTTCGAGGCCAGCATGGTCAACAGAGCGAGTTCCAGGACAGCCTCCAAAACAATACAGAGAAACCCTGTCTCAAAAAACCAAAAAAAAAAAAAAAAAAAAAAAAAGAATGTACAACCCCTGAAGTGGCCCCTGGTGAGAATTGCAGGCCTTGATGGTACCGCTGTGTTGTGTTTCAAGCCAGGCATTGGTGGTTTGAGGCCAGCCTGGTCTCGAGAGCTGCTTCCAAGACAGCCAGGGCTACACAGGGAAGCTTTGACAAATGCACCTCTCCAGTGCCAGGGTGTTTTGTTTACTTTTAAGGGTCTCATCTGCCTCCCAAAGCTGGGCTATAAGTATGTGCCACTCACCCTGCTCCCCCCACGACTTTGGTTTTTGTTTGTTTGTTTGTTTTTTCAGACAGTGTTCCTCCACATAGCTCTGGATATCCTGTAACTCACTTTGCAGATCAGGCCGACCTTAAACTTAGAAATTTTCTTGCTTCTGTTTGCATCTGGCTGCTCCGTGCCCCCATCTCCAACCGCCACCCAGGACTTCTTTTTAACAGCTGGGCAGTGGTGGTGCACACCTTTAATCTCAGCACTCAGGAGGCAGAGGCAGACAGATCTCCGACACCAGCCTGGTCTACACAGTGAATGCCAGGATAGCCAGGACTGTGTGTTTCTGTGTGTGTCTGTGGGGAATATGACTACAGTGCCTGCAAGAAGCTAGAAGTCATCAGAGGCCCAGGAGTGGAAGTTACAGGCAGCTGAGAGCCACCCTGTGTGTGTGTGGGAACTCTGCAAGAGCAGTTCACCACGCTCTAAACCACAGAACCGATACCCGCTATTCCCCCTTCTTAATGGAAAAGGATTCTGGGTGGAGGGAGTATGTAAGGGGCATTAGGGAACCGAATGCCATGCTTTCGGTTAAGTTTCTCTGTAAACTGAAAACTTCTCTAAAACGCGAGGTCTACTCTTTTTTTTTTTTTTTTGGTTTTTCAAGACAAGGTTTTTTTGTGGTTTTGGAGGCTGTCCTGAAAGTAGCTCTTGTAGACTAGGCTGGTGTCGAACTCACAGAGATCCACCTGCCTCTGCCTCCTGAGTGCTGGGATTAAAGGTATGCACCTCCAACGCCCGGCCTTTTTTTTTTTTTTTTTTGGTACTAATTATTTTCAAAGTGTCCTGTGGAGGGCTAGGGGGAGCTCAACTAAAGGAGTGCTACCACAGCATGTGTGAAGCCCTAAGCTCCATTCTTAGCACCGCATGAAACTGGGCATGTTGGCACATCCCTGTGACATCAGTACTCCCCAAGTACTAGCAGGTAGATCTGAAGTTCAAGGCTATCCTAAACAATAGAACAGACTTGAAACCAGCCATGGGTACACAAACAAAGAACTCCAAAGCTCAAACCTAGCCTCTCCCCCCCAAATACAAGCAGAGCTGGACTTGGTGATCTGTGGCTGCAGTCTCTGCTTTTGAGAGGCTAATGAAAGGAGATTGCTGAGGGTTCAAGGCCAATATGGGCTACATAGTGAGTTCAAAGGCAGCCTAAGCTATGTATTCTGTCTCCAAAAACCAAGCCAAATAAAACATTTCCAATAAGAAAAAAACACATGATTTTACTCAAGAGCTAGTTCATAACTGTTTGTTAGGTTTGTAATTTGATTTTAAGGATTGTCTCTCTGGTTTGGGTTTCAGTGCTGGGTGGAACTCAGGTCCTGATGCATGCTAGATAAGTGTTCTACCACTAAAGTTCCGGACTCCAGGGATGAAGATGTTTTGCAAGACTATTTGTCATCAATCCCCATTCATAACTCCTCCTTCCCCACTCCCCTATAGTCTCCATGGCCTGCTTTTCTCTTTTTCTAACCCATCTCTGCTTTCTGCTTCCAACATGAATAGGCCGTTTTCTCCCACCCAAAAATGCAACTTCGGGGGTCTAAGAGGATTCCCATTTTTGCTTCGGATGCTGGGCTGACCTTACAGGCGATTCACTGCATCTGTCTCCCCTGGCTCCTCCAGGGTGCTAGGACTCTGGCCTCTCCTAGGCTTCTTAAGACACCTACAGCCCCTTCCGGGGAAGAGTGCTCCAGGGTCTAGGCCTAGGTTAGGCCCCAATATGAACTGAGGCTCGAGAGGCCTGGCAGTGCGGTTCACTCAGCCTGTCCTGAACCTCCGTACCCTGCTCCCTGCCCCTGGTCCCAGATGGTGGTGTCCATTTCGCTACCTGGTAGCATTACCCCCTCTACTCCCCACGCCCAGCCAGCTGAGGGGCGCCAACGCGGCGGTGGGGACGGGAGGTGGCCGGACGACAGCTGGGGGGGCGGCCCTGACCTTCACGCAATCGATGGGGCGCGGCCGGCCGCGCGGAGCCGGGGCGGTGCCGGAGCCCCCCCCTGCCTCAGGGGTAGCTATAAAGCAGGGGGCGCGGGGCTCAGGCTGCAGTTGCACCTACAGAGCCCGACCATGGCGCCTCCACTGCCCACACCGCCGCTACTACTGCTGCTGTTGCTGCTCGTGGGCTCCGCCGCGCTCCCAGCGCCCCCCAGGTGAGCTGGGTTGGGGGACTCCACTTCACCACGGCCACGCCCACAGGTCCACATGGTCGTACTCTGACCCTCCTCGCCCCGCCCCTACTCAGGATCCCGAGACACTCAGACGGGACGTTCACCAGCGAGCTCAGCCGCCTGCAGGACAGCGCCAGGCTGCAGCGCCTGCTGCAGGGTCTGGTGGGGAAGCGCAGGTGAGCCGTCTAGGTAGAACTCTCCAGACTTGCTGGTATGGGACAGGCCTGGCATGGTCCCCTATCAGCAACCTGCCACTTCCCAATACTACCACTAATTCTAATTTGCACTGGGGTGGGGGGCAGTGAACAGGACACAGAAAGTATCCCAGAGAGCAGCCTGGCCCGGCCCAAGCCTTCAGAGGACCAGCTCTGCTTGCTATGGTGGAACACTCAGGCCCTACAGGATTGGTGAGCATTCCACCCTCGGCTGGGATCCTAAAGCACCCTTCCTGTTCCCTAGCCATATGAGTGTGTGCACTCTAATGGTCACTCCTAATCCCCTGACCACCTGTCTCCCTCCACAGGTTACTTCCCAGGCTTTCCCTGGATGGGCCCTGGTCTCCCTGGCTGCCTCCTGGACCAAAGCCTGATGTCGATGCTGATGCTTCAGATTGGACTGAAGCAACCAGGCATCCCTGATGAGGAAGGAAGGGAAGTCTCGAGGAGCCTGGCTGGAGCTAGGGTTTGACTGTCCTTGGTATCAATAAAGAAGGAGTTTAGACCCTGATCTTTTAGCTCATGGTGTGTGATGTCTTATAAAATCAAGGTAACCCCTGCTCAGTGAGCCTGGCAGGTGTGGACAGACCCATCCACCTCATTCAATGGCTGGGACCACACCCAGCTGCCCTTTGAACTTGGGAGGTCGGCTAGGACATTTCTTCCTTATCTCCGGCATCTACTGTACTCCTCTTTTCCCAGCTGAAATCCCCAGTGTCCCGCCCTGCCCTGGGATCCCAAGGATCCCAACCCCTGTCCAGCCATGTGGCCAGGGTGCTTGGCTCCACCTAGAGGCCTCTCCCCAGCTCCGAGGGCTTAGCGGGGAGAGCAAGCAAGCAAGACTAGAGCAGGTCTGATGGAGGCCTGGGCTGTCTTCACCAGGATTCCCGTCTTCCATCAGATACTGCCCCACCCCCTCCAGCTCCCAGCTGTGTCTGGAAGGTTTCATTTGCATCCTATTACCCAGACGCTGCCAGGTCCTGCCGGGCCCTATCCTGGGGAGCTGCTGAGTTTTCCAGACCAGAGGTAGCATGCTGAGACACAGACTTTTCCTTTGGGAGTAGAACAGAGAAGGAAGGCGATGTAACGTGACTTCAGGAATTTTGCTAAAGGACACTGGAGAGAAAGAGACAAGATGAGGGTTAATTTGATGCTGGTTACAGTGGCTCAGTCCACATCCAGGTCCTTGCCCCCAGCTCCCCACCCCTTCCCAGTGCTCCAGTGCTGCACTAGGTCCCCCCCAGTTCCTCCCCAAACCCACCCTAAGCCTTCCTATCTCCCCTGGCCCTGCCCCTGCTCCCCCATTTCTATCTCCTCCAGTCCTGTCCAGCTCCCTCCAGCCTCCTGCAGCTCTCCCCAGACCTATGGCTCCACCCCCACAGGCCTGCTTCAGCACCCCCCCCCTCCTACCCCAGCTCCCCAGACCTAGGAATGGTTTTCACCCCCGGGCGTATTTCAGCTCCTCAGCCCTGACTCAGCCTCCCTAGACCGTCCCCAGTCTTGTCCTGTGTTTACCAGGACACTCCCGCTCCCAGTGGTTCTCATGATTTTTATACCTCACGTGTAATTTCTGTGGGTTTAGTGCCCACTTAATTTCCTGGAAGTCCAGGCTGGAATATGACCTCGTGTCCCCTCTTAGTGCCGGCCAGCGGGAGCCCCCTTGATAGAGGCCATCAGTAAAGGGTCATAAAATGAGGCGGTGCCTGGCAGGGGCGAAGGTCGCCAAGGCAGGAACTGTACCAGCCCTGGAACAAGGCAGCTGGACCCTTCTTCCAGCTGACAGCCGCCACCATGGGGGCTCCGGCCCTCCTGTGGCCCCCGCTACTGCTGCCATTACTCGTAGTGTTGGTTGGCCAACCTCCAGGGACCTCTGCCCAGAGCCAAGGTATGTGCTGGACAGGGGCAGGATGGGTAGGCGAAGAGCTGGGGTGGAAGGCACCAACTTCTCCTTTACAACTTTCTAGTCTGCTCCGTGGACTTGAACTCTACCTCTATTGAAATCGAGGAGAACACAAATGTTTCTGAGCCACTGGCAAACATTTCAGTCCCAGACGGTATGAGTGTGACCCTGGGGTCTTCGTCCACTCCTTTGGCATTTAAGATTGTGGATGATCAGCTATTTCTCATCGTGATTCCAGATTATGAGGTACAGTGTGTATGCTGGATGGAATGTGCCCCCACGGGACATATGTGAACATCCACTCCCCTAGCCTGGAGAAAATTCAGGGGGACAGGGGTTACTGGCTCTGTGTCCCCCAGGTAGTGAGGAGCCCTTCGGGCCCAGTACTTGGTGGGTCGGTACTGAGGGGTAGGACCACTGGGGAACAAAGTTGCCAGATGCCCCCTATACCCAGGATTTGCCACTGATGGCAGGGACCCTGGAGAAGCACCAGCCCTCTAGCCACAGTCTTCTAGCCTAGGGCACTGCACTTCCTGTGGGGCAGGTGATTCATAGGGCACTGACTTCATCCTCAGGAAAACCCAGTGCTGGAGGCAGTCCTGGAGTGCAAGAGAGACCAGTCTGTGGTAAGGCAACCCCATCATCTGCCACCCTTGTCCTCTGTCAGAGTACCCCAAGACCACTCCTCTAGGACCTCACCACAGGGGGTCTGAACACCAGCTCCCTACTGGCCACTCCCACACTTCTCTGAGCCCAGACTGCCCTGTACTCTAAACTCAAACTCAGCTAATTTAGGGCCACATACAAGTCAATACCCAGAGATCCCAAGTCTGCCTCTCACCCCTCGCCTGGGAGACACCTTCACCAGCCAGCCACTTTGTCACCCCACCCAAGGTACTCTGGTGGCTGTGCCTCAGTTAGAGTCAGAACTACACTTCCTACCGGAGCCCCGTGGGGCTGTGCTCCACAGATCTCCTAACTGGTCCTTCTCGCAGATCTGCTTGCTGCTCTCTTGTCACTGGCCCTCCTCAGTCCCTTCTCCATGCATCGAGTCCCTGGAGAGTCCGAACCAGATCCTGCCCAGCCTCACACAGAAACTTCCACATTTTCTTACTGGAACTCAAAGCTAATTTCTCAGCTGGGCAGGCAAGGCTAGGGCAAGCAGACACTGGCCTAGTGTATACAGTCCGTCTGCATACCTGTCTGCTCAGGCCAGCATGGAAAAGCCCCGTCCTCCTAACCTCCTGCTCTACACTGTCCGCCTCCCTGCCTCCCTCAGCCTATACCACATGGCAGTCTTTTACTAAAGGAAGCTCGCAGTTACAGCAGACCCCACACACATTCTGCTCCACCAGGAGCAACTCACACCTGCGCTCCTACCCTGTCCCGTGACATGTTACCCACACACGTCTCGGCCCAAGTCTCTGATAGATAATACTTTAAAAAATAAACTTCATTTTTAGGAATAGTTTGGTAGTAGAGTACCTGCCTCGTATGGGTGAGGCCCTGGGCGCCACTCTCAATGCATAAATACATATCACATAGAGAAAGAGAGACACAGACAGACAGAGAGACCGAGGAGACAGAGACAGAGCAACCATGGCCTTGATATCTGTCGCTGGGGATCCGTGCCTTTTCCTCTCTGTCCTCCAGCACTTGGCTGTGTTCCTCTCCTCCTGGGTCTCAGGAAGGTCTCTCATGGGGTATAGCTGGCTGACACTAACTCGAAGGCTCCTTTCTCTGCTCTTTGCTTGCAGACCTGTTTTTGAAGCTGTGAGGCTGCTCACAGTTCTCCTCCTTTGATACTTCACCCCTGTTTCTCTTCGGCACACTCACCACACACACACGCTGCCACACTCTGAAATGTGGTTTAGTTTTGCTTTTATAGTCTGAGTTCCTCCTAGCACAGGAGCCCACAGGCCACTACACTGTTGATGCCACCCATGTCTGTTGAATGAAAGAGAAAAGAGTGACTGAGTGAATTGATGAAGAAGAAGGGTTAGTGAGGGGGGCATTGGAGATGAAGAAGGGTGATGGGGACATTGGAGCGCAGCTCCTTCCCCGGGGCTTGACTTGGTGGCTTTTCTGCAGGTGACACAGTTGAGGGTATTCGTGATTGTCCAGGATGTCAATGACAATGCTCCAGAGTTCCCCTTTACAATCAAGACATATGACGTAGCAGAGGTGAGTCCAGGGGAGCCCGGGCAGGTGCCTCCTGAGTATGGAGAAGGGAGGGGGACAGAGAGGGGTGTCTGGGGGACACCATCAGGGAGATTTATATACAGAAGCCACAGCACGGCTGGATCAACTTCTTCTCCATCCCCAGGACACCAAAGTGGGTACAATTGTCATCCCTGGGACAGAACTGGAGGCCAAAGATGCTGACAAAGATGACACCCTATTTTACACTCTCCAGGAAGTGACCCCTGTCAGTACTTCCCCTGTCCCCACTCATTACTGAGCCCTCCCTTCTGATGCCCCCAGACCTCAGTCCCTCCACATTCCAGAGTCTCAGGTTGTGCCCTCTTCCCCCTTGTCAGAACACCACCGACTTCTTCACCCTGGTGGGGCAAAACAACCCTGCTCTGAGGCTGCAGAAGTCCCTGGATTTCTACAAGAATCAGAACATGACCTTCAAGCTGCTGGCACGGGTAAGCAGACCACAGCTATCTGAGTCCTGGATGTTCAGGCCCTGTCCAAGCCATCGTGGGCCTGACCTGTCAGGGCTGGCTGTTGCTACAGGATACTTGGGATGAAGCTGAAAATTCCAGCCACACAGCCACGGCCACTGTGATCCTGAATGTGCTTCCAGCTGACCTACGGACCCCCTGGTTCCTGCCTTGCTCCTTCTCAGATGGCCACTTCTGCATCCAGGCCCAGTACCATGGGGTGGTCCCCACGGGACACACACTGGTAATGGGGAGTAAGAAAGCCCAGAGTCTGACTTGAACCCAGAGCCAAGTCAGAGGGGGTTCAGGATAGGGATGCAACAGTGGTCCTGTGTTCCCCGAGAGGCCTAGGTGATTTTGTGATTTTTTTTTAGCTAATATGAACAAATAATCATTCACTAACTATCCCAGCCTCAGGTGGGGGACATACAGACAAAAATCAGTGACAAGTGTGAACCCTGTGATGTCAGCTGGGATGTGAGGACTTCAGGGGCTGGGCTGATGCTAAAAAAGGACTGCTATGTCCTTGCCCAGAGGACAATCTCCTCTAAGGCCAGAGGGACTATTGGGCAGGTGGGGTCCAGCCAAGGCTACCGCAGCCTCCATGTACAGAGAGGCACACATGGAGGCTGCAGGTCTTCTTTCTTAAGTTCTTATTGCCACTGTGTGGTTGAGGCTCTGTCCCAAGCAGGCACTGCTCCCTGCCCCCAAGCTCCAGTTCACGTTTCAAGCCTTGAGGGACAATAAAAGAGTAAGAACCGGAGAACCAGGGTGGTTCAACCTCAACATGTCCCTGTCCCCACAGCCATCCCCTCTCACCTTGACTCCTGGTCCCATCTATGCTGTGGATGGGGATCAGGGTATTAACCAGCCTATCATCTACAGTATTGTGGCAGGTGAGTGCGAGCTAGCCCCATAGCACCCAGACCCTACAACAGAGGGACCAGACGCTAAACTCCATCTGAATTCTCCCAGGAAACACGGATGACACATTTATCATCAGCACAGACTCTGGCAACCTCACGATGGCCAAAAGTATCCCCCGCCCCATGACCTTCACCCTGCTGGTCAGGGTGGGTACCAGCACTGGATGACAGACGGGTCTCCTGCATTCCCTTGAGCCCCAGGTGCAGCCCCAGCTCCGGTAAGCCTCACTGCTCACTCCTGTTTCCCCTGACTCCCCAGGCTGACCAGGCTGATATGGCACGCTACTCAATGACCCAAGCCATCGTGGAGGCTCGTGATGCCACTGGGAGCCCGCTCCAGTTCTCTCGGAGCCGGTACCATGGCACAGTGGTGCTTGGTTCTAAGGCTGGGACAGAAGTGAAGGACAGGACCTCCCCTTCTGAGATCCTGAGGATCCAGGCTCAGTACCTAGATTTCCCGGTATGCAGTCGCTTCCTGACCATCTAGCAACTCTCTAAGTTTGACTAAGTTCTCTAGTTCTCTGTGTGGGCAGCTTGGGATGGACAGTAGGGCACCCAGGTCCAGGTCTCACTGCAGTCTCACCTAGGACCTCAACTCGGCCATCACGTACGGAATCACCAACTCCTCAGATTTCAAGATGGACGAGGACGTCATACTGACCACTGTGGATATGGAGCACGTAGACACCTTCTACGTAGAGGTGGAGTGGGGAATGAGGGGACCAAAGGTGCGGGGTAAAGAGGGACCCGATAGGAACAAACCCCTTTCCTGATCCAGGTAGAAGCTACCAATACTGTGACTAAGGACACAGCCACCACTGTTGTTGAGATCCAAGTGTCAGAGCAGGAGCCCACCACAGGTGAGTCCCAGGGCCTCCAAGCAGGGTGGCCCCTCCTCTGGAACAGGCATATTTGGGGACAGAGGTAAACCCAAGTTCTGTCCATGCCACCCCCAGAGTCCCCCAAGCCCCCAGGAGCTGGAGGAACAACTGGGCCTTCAAGTAGCACCACTTTGGAAGCCCCCACGACTTCTGGGACCTCTCAAGGACCTGCCACAACCAGCTCTGGGGGAAGTGCTGGCCCATTCCCACCCTCAGGCACAACTCTAAGTCCACCTGCCTCTGCCTCATCCATACCTACTCTTGGAATCAGCACCACCCCCCAGACAGTCACTCCTGGTGGGGACTCAACACAGACCCCCAAGCCAGGAACCTCTCAGCCAGTGGCCCCCATTACAGGTACACAGACCCCCAAGCCAGGAACCTCTCAGCCAACGGTCCCCATTACAGGAACCTCTCAGCCAGCAGTCCCCATTACAGGAACAAGTACCACTTCTCAGCCAGCCACACCCAGTGGGGGCTCAACACAGACCCCCAAGCCAGGAACCTCTCAGCCGACAACCACTGCGCCCACCAGGAGCCCCTCACCCTCAGGTAGTCCACACATTGTTTGCCCGACAGGAGGTTCAGGGATGTACTCTAGGACAGGGTCCACCCAGGTAGCCTGGCCTGACCCATTGACCACCTACAAAAGTATGTGTCTAGTTCCAGACAAATGGCCCCAGGGGACAGAATAGGGTGAGCTGAATAAGGTGTGGGGTACAGAAGCAGATTCTGGAGCCAGTGAGTCCCACAATTCCCAGGACAATCTATCTTTAGGGTCTTAAGGTGGGAGCACTACTCCAATAATCAGGGAGATACAAGATAAAAATTAAGATTTTATGGCTGTCAGGGTGTGCTAACATATTCCTTTATTTCCAGCACTAGGTAGGTAGTGAAAGGCAGATATCTGTGAGTGCAAGGCCAGCCTGGTCTATATAGTGAATTACAATCCAGCTACACACAGAGAATCTCTTTAAAAACATAATTATGGCCGGCGGTGGTGGCACACGCCTTTAATCCCAGCACTTGGGAGGCAGAGGCAAGTGGATCTCTGTGAGTTTGAGACCAGCCTGGTCTACCGAGCAAGTTTCAGAACAGGCTCCAAAACAATACAGAGAAACCCTGTCTCGAAAAACCAAAAAAAAAAAAAAAAAAAAAAAACCAAAACAAAACAAAACATGAGTCAGTGGTAGTAGCACACACCTTTAATCCCAGCATTTGGGAGGAAGAGACAGGTGAATCTCAAAGTTTGAAGCAAGTCTGGTCTACAGAGGGAGTTCTAGGATAATAGCCAGGGCTACACAGAGAAACCCTGTCTCCAAAAAAAGAAAAGGAAAAAAGAAAAGAAATAATAATTATGGCTGGATATAGTGGTATATGCCTGTGATCCCAACTAATGGAGAGACTGAGGCAGGAGGATCACCTGAGCCTAGGAATTCAGGGATAGCCTGGGCAACATTGAGGCAACACTGCTAAAAAACCAAACGAAAAATATAAAACACACACACACACACACACAAAAAAATTTGGTCCCAGAACCCACATAAAACAGCTGAGCGTGGGGGAGTGCACTCCCAATTCCAGTGTTGGGAAGCCAGAGACAGGAATAACCCTGGAGGTCCCTGGCCAGACAGCTTAGCCATGGCCAGTGCTAGGTCAGTAAGAGACTGATACTACTTTAAAACATAAGCCGGGGACTGGCACGAGGGTCAGCCGGGAAGGGCCTGACAACCTGAGTTGGATCCCGGGGTCCCACACACATAGTAGAAGAAGAACACTGACTTCTGCACGTTGTCCTCTGACTACCACACGTACTGACCACACCACACACAAATACACACACTACATAAATGAACTTAAAACATGCACGCACACACTTACACACATACACTCATGTACTCACCCCCCAACACACATATACACTCTCAAGGTTCCCACTGAAAGATTTTTTTTGGTTTTTTAAGACAGGGTTTCTCTGTATTGCTTTGGAGGTTGTCCTGGAACTTGCTCTGTAGGCCAGGCTGGCCTCAAACTTTCAGAGATTTGCCTGCCTCTGTCTCCCGAGTGCTGGGATTAAAGGCGTGCACCACCAACGCCCAGCTCCTCCACTAAAAGATGTTTGTAATGGTTACTTAGCTGTACCCACAGCCCTTCAGGGTACAGGATCACAAGGGGCCAGACACAGTTAGGGTCCCACAGGAATGGTCACCAGTGGCAGTTTTACATAGCAGACTTCTCAAGAGTGTTCTCTAAAAACTGTGTCAAGTGTCACTGAGCCTTGCTTCTGGTCTAAGTGCAACATGTATTCAAAACTGGAGTTTATGCCACGTAAGACAAAGCTCACATCCAACTGTTCACAAAATGCCCTTGAAGGCCATCCTGGTGAATCAGAAGCTGGTGCCCTGCTGCCACCAGGGGCTTTGACATACCCAGGCAGCCTCCCTGGTGGAGTTAGCACCCATTCTCAGAACCTGAGCGCCAGGGGAAGGGCCAGGCCATGTCTGTCCTGTTTTCATGATAACTCAGGCTGGTCCAGGTTGGAAAGGGAAGTGCTTGGGAGTGTTCCAACAGTAAGTGCCATGGTGTCTGGGACAGGGACACAAGGAGAAGGCCAGCGATTTTCCACGGTGGACATGGCAGTGTTGGGCGGGGTGCTAGGAGCACTCTTGTTGCTGGCCCTCATCTGCCTGGTCATCCTCATCCATAAGCACTACCGTCACCGGTTCAAATGTTGCTCCGGCAAGGTTAAGGTAAGGGTCTCTGTGGGGAACTGGACTAGTCACAGTAGAAACGGGACTAACCCAGGTCTGAGGAGTCACAGAAGGGGGACATGGAGGGATGAATGGGAACAGCTGGGGAAAGGAAGCAGAGGTAGGCTGGGATGGATGTGCTGACACCTGGCTGGCTGGGGAAGAGTGGGAGCCCGGTGGCAGGAGGAGGATTAGGAAGGCACTGGCGGGAGGAATTGCACTGTTGCTTATGCCTCTGCTCTTGCTGCACCTGTAGAAGCCGCCACTGCCGCTGAGTGTCTATGACAACCTGACCTTCTTCCCAGACCACAAGGCCAGCTGGTCGTCCACCTCCAGCCCACAGCCGCAGCGGGACCCGGAGACCGCCCAGTCGCCCTCTGGGCCCCATAGCCCCATGTCCTCCAGTCCCACGCCCCCCAGCTCGCCGCCTCCTAGCCCCAAGCTCAGAGCTCCCGAGTCTCCTAAGACTGTCCAGGCTGGGGACAGTCCTTTAGCCGTGAGATCTATCCTGACTAAGGAGCGGCGGCCAGAGGGGGAGGGCGGCTACAAGGCCGTATGGTTCGGCAAGGACATCCGAGAGGAGGCTGACGTGGTAGTCCTCAACGAGCCCGCAGCAGATGTGGACAGCGCCAGTGCCACAGGAAGTGAGGGAAGCGACGATGATGACCCTCACCAGAGTTATATCTAGCGCAGCACCCGCACCCTCCACTCCAATACACTCCCTTTTCCTCAGCAAATTAAAGTAGCACTTTCGAATTCTGGAGTCATGAGGCGTGTGTGTGAGAACGAGTGCCAGGGAAGGTCGTTCAACAAAGCTCAATCACTCAAGCCTCCTCTTTCGGAGCCGAACTATCCCAACATCCCACCCAGCCCCCACCCCAGCCCCACCATCCACGCCCCCGCCCTCCCCCCCCCGCTCCCCCAGCTCTTTCTCCTGTCCCCGCTCCCCCATCCAAGCGCAGGAGGGAGGGAGCGCTGGGGGTAAAACACCTGCTATGAGCGAGCGCCCAGCTGCTGGCTTCCGCATGTCCTCTCCCACAGTGGCAGGCAGGGAAGAGGGAAGTCCTCTCTGGAGATCTTCAGCGCTTGGCCCAACGGACAGCTTCGCTGGAGCGGAGTGAAAGAAACAGAACCGTTCACACCACGTTCATTTGGGAGAGGGTGGTCTCTGGGAGCTTCCTGAGGGTCACCTGATTCAAAAGTTAGCATTCGGGAAGCAGAGGCAGGAGATCTCTGTGATCTTGAGGCCTAAAGAGTGTGAGTTCTAGGACAGTCAAGGCTTTGTAGAGAAAACCTTTCTCAAATAAGCAAAACGAACCCAAACCAACAAAAAGGCTGTTCCAGCAATGAGCACTGCATGCTGCTGGACAGAAACCTTACCTATGAGAAACAGGAGCCTGCAGGTCATGTCAGTAGGTGGGGGTTACACACAGCTCTCTGCAGGCCATGTCGGTAGGTGGAGGTGACACACAGCTCTCTGGTCTGTTTGGGGAGGGTTACGTCATAATCTGGGCTTCTTCCAGCACAGCAGTCATGGCATATTTCCTAGTGAAAAATCATCCCGAATGTCTTTCCAAAAGTTTTTATTTCCTTCCAGTATTTGAATACTTTTCATGAAAACTGACAGCCTTAGCCGCACTCGGGAGGCAGAGGCAGGCGGATCTGATCTCTGGTTTTTTGAGACAGGATTTCTCTGTGTAGCTTTGTAAGACAGACTGGCCTCAAACTCACAGAGATCCGTCTGCCTCTGTCTCCTGAGTGCTGGGATTAAAGGCGTGGGGGGTTGCCACTACCGGCTGAAATCTTCTTATTTGTATCATCTCAATGTGAAGCCTCTCTTTAGACTACACTTCCCAATACTTCGAGAGTTAAACAAAACAAACAAACGCTGCTGACTTTGTTTGAGATAATTGTGGGTACCAACTTCTCCCACTGTATTTTCCTGAGGAGGTGTAGAGAGGGAAAGACTTTTCCCACTCACCCGCCTGGGCAGCCTGGCAGTAGACTAGGCTGCCCCTCCTCCCTCCGAGGCTTGGTGGTGCTGTCCAAAGCAGGGTCAGCCTCTCTCACTGAATTTTAGGAGACTGTGATTCCGAGAATGAAGTGCCACAGGCACGTGACACCCCAGTGGCGTCAGGAGCCCTTAGGCCACACCCAGTTTCCCTCCGCCCCGCCCCTGACCTGTCCTATAAAAGTACAGGCCACCTCCTTCCCACTGAGATAAAACCGTCCCGGCGGCTCCGGCACCAGGTATGCGGGACCCTTTTCCCACTCAGGGAGGGAGCGAGCTAGTGCCACGGGGAGGGGAGGATTCTTGTCCCCTCCACGGAGTAGGGAATGATCGGAGAAGAGCAGCGTAGAGGATCAGGGACACCGGAGGGCGGAGGATCACAAGATCTGCGGGTGGGGTTGGGATCTGCGTAAATGTAGGGTGGAGGTCGAGGACTGCGGCCCCGTAGCCATTGAGACAGAGGGAAGCTCGCAGCTGCCCACGAGCTGCTTAGGCTGTTTAGGTTTCATTTTCCCGGGGTGCAGTTTCGCTTTACTCGTCTGGGCCCGCCCCCTTTTTCCATCTTGTCTTTGCAGGGTCCAGCCTGCGACAGCCCATCCAGGCTTGGACGCTGGATCAACACCTGTGACTTCACGTGTGTGCGTTCCCGCAACATCTGTAGTCACATCTATAGCCACCCTGGCAGAGGAATCCACACTTAGGTTCGGAACCTAGGTGGCTACAAGTTCTCAAACCTCATCTGTGACCCTCAGTACCCTACACCTGGGTCACACTTGTGACACTTAAATTTCCACCTGAGACCAATACCCATAATTACATTTGCGATACTGGGCCACACTATCCGTGGCTACACTCTGAAACTTTAGTGACACCCAAGGGACTTCTTACCTCATTTGTAATACCTGGCTGCGACTACAGCACATCACAGAGTAGGACCTACTCTTGATTCTCCCAAGAGAGCAATGGCCACAGAGAGGTAAGAACATGTCCACCCAGGTTGTGTGGGTCTTGTATGCCTTGCCCTTGCCCTAATTGTAGCTTTGCTGCCCTGCTTGCAGGGGGCCCCAGCGCATACTCTTCGGAGAGTGGCTCCTGGGTGAGGTCAGTAGCGGCCAGTACGAGGGCCTTCGGTGGCTGGACGAGGCTCACACAGTCTTCCGTGTGCCCTGGAAGCATTTCGGTCGCAGGGATCTGGATGAAGCTGATGCACGTATCTTTAAGGTGGTACCCAGTCTTGCCCTCTGTGCAAATCTACCGGACTTCCCAGGGAATCCATCCTCAAGCCTGGTTCTGTCGTCTCCTTCAGGCCTGGGCCGTAGCCAGAGGGAGGTGGCCCCCTAGTGGAGGTAACCTGCCACCCCCAGAGGCGGAGGCTGCTGAGCGAGCAGGCTGGAAAACAAACTTCCGCTGTGCACTCCACAGCACGGGACGCTTTATCTTGCATCAAGACAATTCAGGGGACCCTGCTGACCCCCACAAGGTGTATAAACTTAGCACGGAGTTTGGATGTACTGGTGAGGAATGCCATAAATAGGGATGGGTCAGGGAGGTACATGGACTGCTGTTCTGGTGTCTTCCTGGCTGGATTTGTGGTTTTTAAAACTGGTTGGGAAAAGGCTGATTGTACTCCCAGTTGCTCTCCTTCTAAGGTGTATGGGGTGGGGGTGGGGCATTCCTCCTGAAGCAGAGCCTAGGGCTGAGTGAGTTGCCTGGTGGTTTGGGGACAAAGGGTGTGGGGAAGAGAACGTTTGGAACTACTCAAGCATCATAACCAGGTTGCAGGTCGGTCTCAGATCCAAATTCCCCTCTCCTTCAGAAGGCCCGGCCATGGAGAATAGGGAAGAAGTGACCGTCAGCAATGTCTTACCTACACAGGTACAGTCTAGTTTGCTCCTCCTAGGTGTGGGGGATGGGCAGCTGCCTACCAATACACTTTCTCTTGCAGGGTGTGTCCCTGGAACCATTCTCAGCAAGAGGAAATACTGGGCTCCAGACCCCAAGCCCTCTGCTTTCTGGTGATACTGGGGACCTCTTGCTTCAGGTTCTGCAGTACAGTCTCCTGGGGGACCACCTCCTGGGATCTCACTCAGCCCCATCACAGGACCCTGGTGAGTGGGGGCTGAACTAGAGAACCCCCATGCCCCAGGCTGTATGAGAGCACCCCGGGGAGAGGAGGCAAGATGAGAGCGTTGGCATCACAGGAGTGGGGGAGCTAGCACACCATGAAGGGCAAGATGGACACGGCTGCAACTTGTCCTCAGGCTGGGAGCAAGAGCATGCTTCTGAGGACCCTCACGCAGCATGGCAGGTGGGAGCCGTCCCCGGCCCGAGGCTTCAACACCCAGCTCTAACAACTGGTGAGGACATGGGGACCCGCTGGTGTGGGGTAGAGCTGTGCTAGCAAGGTCTCCCCAGTACACACCCATTCCCCCAGCAGAACCCTGCGCTCTTCACCCCTCATGGGACCTCCAGTGGGAGGTGAATGGGTCCTAGGGTGTGGGACCAAGTAACCTACCCATACTCACCACTCACAGCTTGGTCTGTAAACTAGGATACCTGGATGTGACCATCATGTACAAGGGCCGCACAGTGCTACAAGCAATGGTGGGGCACCCCAGCTGCGTGTTCCTGTACAGCCCCATGAGCTCAGTGACAAGAAACTCAGAGCCCCAGCCAGTGATTTTCCCCAGCCCTGCTGAGCTTCCGGATCAGAAGCAGCTGCGTTACACAGAGACACTGCTGCAGCACGTGTCTCCAGGACTTCAGCTGGAGCTGCAGGGGCTCTCACTGTGGGCCCTGCGCATGGGCAAGTGCAAGGTGTACTGGGAGGTGGGCAGCCCCATGGGCTCCACCAGCTCCTCCACCTCAGCCCAGCTCTTGGAGCGCAACTGCCGCACCCCAATCTTTGACTTCAGCACTTTCTTCCGAGGTCAGTGAGGTGCCTGTTGGGGGTGCAGTCCTTGTGGGTCCCTGGAGCTTCTCTTAACTGCTCACCAGAGCTACCTTCTAACAGAATTAGAAGAGTTCCGGGCTCGGAGGCGACAAGGATCACCACACTATACCATCTACCTGGGTTTTGGACAGGACTTGTCAGCAGGCAGGCCCAAGGAGAAGAGCCTGATTCTGGTCAAGGTAGAGGCTGGGTTGGCAAGTACAGGTGGGTGTGGGCTGCTGGGTGGGGCCCTAACACGTCCTCCCCACAGTTGGAGCCATGGCTATGCAAAGCTCACCTGGAGGGAGTGCAGCGTGAGGGTGTGTCCTCCCTGGACAGCAGCAGTCTCGGCCTGTGCCTGTCTAGCACCAACAGTCTCTACGATGACATCGAGCACTTCCTCATGGACCTGGGTCAGTGGACCTAGCCCAGAACTGCAACTCCCAATAAAGAGAGTCCAGTGCTGTCCTGAGTCAGGTTACTCTCGGCTGTATGTTGTCCTCTTTACTGGACTTGTGGGTCCCATGAAAGGAAATGAGCCCCATCCCTGCACACTAAGCCTCCTTTGCAGTGCTCATCTTAACAATGATGAACTGGCTTGAGTTACCACGCCCCTTACTGGATCCAAATGCTCTAAGATAGGCATTGGAGAGCACATTTACAGTGCCAGGTGTACTGGGGAAGGTGGGATATGTGTGAGTCCCTGAGACCCACAGCACCACGTCTAGTCTCCTAACCGAAGCAAAAGCAACCAGAATAACAAAACTGAGTGAGTGCTGGCAGGTGGCTATGTGGCAGATACAGGAGCTTCCCATTGGGCCATCAGGCCTTCTGAAATAAAAAAGCTTCACCTTCCAAACACTGAGTACACAGAAAAGTTTCTAAAGATAAGCCATTTTTGATAAATTAGAACACAATGGAAACAGTGTATCTATAATATACATATAAAAAAGTCCAGTTTTCAATTGTAAGCAAGACAGGTGCATACAGGTGTCATGGGGAGCTCAGAGGCACAAGTGCTGGTAGCCCCACTTCTTTCCTACTGGGGACATTCCCCACAGTGGCCAGTCTCAGGTCTCAGCACCCTGAGTGGGCGGCTCCTCCCCAGCTTCAGTCTTCTTGTGTCTGCGCATGTGCCTGTATTTGTCCACATAGGCCTTCACCAGGTTGGCCACCTTCACGGGGTTGATTTCGCCACTCTTGCTGTGGCAGATCTGAAGAAAGAACACAATCATCCTAGTGCTCTCAACCTGTCAGAGACCAACCCAGCCAGGTGTCGTTGTCCTGGCCCTCCACACAGAGCCCTTGGTCTTTGTTAAGAGTACACGCATCCAGCCCGAGGCGGCACCCCCCCCCCACCCGTAACTACACTTAACAGAGCTGTTGAAGTTTCTCTACATATGTCAAAGGTCAGTAGGAAGCTAGAGACTTGTTCCTTTAGAAAGATCTGCCCATCTTTTAAACACATCTATTACTTAGTTTTAACAAGCATTGTTTGAGGGCACTTACTAGGAAACAGGATTGATCTAAGGCCAGCCACTTGGCCCAGCTGGCTGACTCTACACTTGCAGACCCAGGAGTCCATGTAAACAAGAAATGGCAACTACCTGTCACACACATATCTAGCAGGTTGCCAAAAAGGCACATTTGCTGTGTGCAGCCTACCTTCTGCACAGCTTTGCGCAGGATATCCTTGTATTCTTCCTTGGTCACTTCTCTCTTCTGGTAGAAGGGCTTAATGGCCAGCTTCACCTCTTCCACAGCCCGCTCCTGCATGTGCAGCTTCTTCATGTACTAGGAGTGAGGACATGTGTGACCCTGTGGCAAGATGGCCAAAACTGGCCTGTGGGCCCCTTGGTGGGAAGTTAGCAGTTCTGGGATGTCCCTTCACCCAAGAGCACTAAAGGCAATGGGCTCGATGCTCTCTTACCATCCTGACCAGCCCCCAGGCCTGGCTGGATACTATAGCTAAAATCAGGCCGGAATAAGACAGGGGTCGTGGAAGGACAGACAGCACTCACCTCCTCCTTTTTGGTCTTCTCAGCAGCTGACTTGGGAGTAGCAGTTCTTTCCTCTGAGTTGGTGGTGGTGGTAGCAATAGCCAGCTCTGAGGTTGTGGCTGGCATATTGGGCACTGGGGCCAGGCTCTGAGCTGTACCGCAGCCTGCTAGGGGGAGGGCCCCCTGCAGGATCAACTGGACTGAGGGCTGGCTGACCAGTGCATAGGGCAGGATGCTTGAGGGCTGAGCCAGGGGTGGTGGCATGTTGGGGCTGTAAACCTGGGCAAGAATACCACCTGCTGAGTGGAGAGTCCCAACAGCTGGCAGCCCTTCTGCCCTGGAAGCACCAGGGGGCTGTACAGAAAGGAAGTAGTGCCATGAGGTCTAAGCCGTAACCAGGGCAGCCCAAAATACCCAGCAAAGGACCATGCTCCTCTAGCCCAGCACCCACCTGAGAGGGATCTGCATCAGGTAACCCAGACTCCTGGAGCACGTGGATGGGAGGGGGCAGATCGGAGAATGGTGCCTGCGGAACTCCTATGAGGGCCCTGTCCTCTGCATCCCAGTCTCCTTCCTGGGGCCTCTGTGGCCTCTGAAGTGGTGTCCCTGAGGACCCAACAGACAGGGAAGGTGGGTGCCTTGTAATCAACCCTGGCCAAAACACTTTCAGAGAACCAGCAGCGGGAACCAAGGCCAAGCTGCACATCTGTCTCTAAGAGGCTGGACTCAGGTGGGGACCCCAAAGAGTCAGGGGAGGCTCTTGGGGTAGCTGCCTTCCTGCCTTATGCCTGCTCCACACCCCGATTCACAAGGACAACCACCACCAGGACCCCAGTCATTGGCAGGGCCAACTCACTTTGAACTCTGTCCGGGGCTGGGGTGTTGTCCTCCGCTTCCTGCAGGTTCCAGGTGACTCTTTTCACCAGGGTTCTGGATCGTAGCAGTGGGGCCTGGGCCACAGCATCCTTGGGCCGGATCGTTTCACATCCTCTCCCACTTAGAAAAGGACTGTCCTTTCCCATGGGGACCACACCCGGCGTGCTAAGAGTTGCAGCAGTGGTTTCTACAGTATCCTGCACGAGCAGGCACTGGTCTGAAGGGGTCAGTGCCTGGGGTGCAGGCTTTGAGATGTCTTCACTATGAACCAGTAATGCCTCCCTCTGGATGGTAGGTAGAGTAGTGTCCTGTGGAAGGCTGGCTGGGGGCACTGTGGGGTTTGATGGGAAGTCTCGCTCTGGGGAGGAGTCTGTACTCTCAGGGGAAGGTGGCGAGCTCATGTCATCGAGCTGAATGAAGATGGCCTCATTTGAAAAGTCCTCAAAGACGTGGCCTGCCTCCACAGAGTCCCCATAGTCTAGGTCCTCAGGCACACACTCAACTGGCTCAGCCAGGACAGCAGGGACGTCTGGAGGGTTCAGATCAGTCACAACCACCTCTGGCAGGACACTTACTTCTGGCACTGGAGGATTGGCAGGGTCCTTTCCATCCTGCCCTGGTTCCTCCTGTGGAGCAGGGGAAGTTGGGGAAACCTCCCTCACAACCTCCTTCTTCTCTGGGGAATGGGGCCGCTTCTCACGGGAATGTGGCCTCCGTGGCCTATGCTCCAAGCTGGGTGACCGAGACCGCCACCTCCTTCTCTCTCGGGACCGAGTCATACTCTCCTTCTTGTCCGTCCTCTCTCGGCTCCTCTCCCGATGCTTGTGTCTCCAGTCCCTCTCCAGGCTGCTGTGGGGTGAGCAGTCCCTGCCTCGAGACCTGGACCCTGAATGACGCCTCTTCCGTCTCCTACTCTCATGGTGCTCACAGGAAGAACTGCCAGGACTCCCTGAGCGGGACCTGGACTTCCTCCAGCACCTGCCATGACCCCAGGGGCCCCGCCTCCGCTCCCTATCCCTGTCCCTCCTCCTCTTTGCTCTGTCCTGGCTGCTGGCACGGTCACTGGAAGACCTCCGCCTCTTAGCCTTGGTTCTGTGCTTCTTGGTGTGTTCCTCAGACACTGGAGACACTGAGCGTGAGGTCCTGTCCCTGGAGCCAGATCGAGTGCTGGAGCGTGTCCTCTGGTGTTCTTTGGCAACCTTCTTCTTCTTACTTTTCTTCCTGCTACGGGAGCTGGAGGTGGAGCGGGAACGAGATGGGGCCCTGAGCTCCACAATCCTGTGGGTGGCTACCTGTGGAGCATCTGGGCTTGGTGGGACATCTGGCTCCACAACTGTCACACATGTCACCGTCCGTTCCTCAGAGCCAAAGAAGGGTGTACAAGACACTCCATCCTCATCATCCCAAAGGTCTGGTGGGGATGGTCGCTGAGTTCGGACTGTGGAGCCCTGGATCTCTGTAGGCTCCATTTCCCCGAGTTCTTCACGCTCCATATCAGAGGCTCCCTCATCAGGTCCCTTGCCCAGGAACTCCAGCATGCCAGACACAGGTTCACCAGGGGGCTGGGGCTCAGGTTCCACTTCAGTCCCAAAGTCGCTTTCTACCCTGTAGGAGGTAACACAGCGCACAGTCTGGAAGGCTGGGGCCTTTGGGCTGTTGATGGAGATAGTTCTCGTGATCTCAGAGGGTAGAAGGCCTGGGCCAAGACTCTCGGGGCTGCTGCTAGGAGGGCTGGAGTCCGAGCCAGTGGGGTCAAAGGGGTCATAGATTTCGCTCTTGAGTTGTTTTGGCTTCTTGATGGAGAAGAGGGGTGAAGGGTTCTCCTTCCTCTGCACCTTGCTATCTACTGGCCGGAATGTGTTACAGAAGCCAGGGCTAGACAGCTGGCTGCAATGTGCGGTATTCCCAGGGATGTTGATCCTGAAGCTTTCAAAGGTAGACCCAATGCCCTTTCCTCTTGAGTGCCCTAGGGGGGCCACGCTGCCATGGGAGCTGGGGGCAGAAGGGCGAGAACCACCAGTATGTGAGCCAGTCTCCTGGGGACCCCTGCTGCTGGGCTCATTCTCAGGCCGGCCTCGCCCTGGCTGCCCAGGACCTTCCCTGCCAGTCAGGCGGCTGATGCAAGTGCTGGGGAGCTCCACGGTCTGCCCACTGGCTGGGACCTGGTCCTGTGTGCTGTCACTTCGGTCCCTGTGGATCTTTGGTATCCTGGGTAGCTTTGAGAAATCAGGTCTCCTGGGATCTGTTTTCTGGGGATGCCCAGGAGTTCTATTTTTAGATGGAAAGTTAGAATGAGCAGTCATCTTAGATGAGGCAGAACCAAGAGGCAATGCCCTTGTGTTGGAACCATTAAGCCATGGGCTGTTATTCTGTTTCAAGGTAGGCCTACTCTCATTTGAAAGGTTCCCAGCCTGACTTGAACATGGGGTCACCAATGAGTCCAACCTTACAGGTGTCTCCACTGTGCAGCCAGGGATACGGCGTAGGGCTGCTCTGTCCCCACAGCTCAGCCCTGAGCTCCGTCGCCTGTCTCCCATGAGTCCACTGGATGCGCTCACGGAGGGTAGTGCTCCAGGCTGCAGGTTGTCTCTGGACC